AAGTCGCTCTCAATTACTTTTTGTTATCCAATTAAACGCCGCCATTCAAAAATTATTTCTCTAACCTGCTAAATAACAAGACGATTCAGCCGTCAAATTTGATTTTGTCCAATGCCGGAGTCCAGCGACAGTGTACAAACGTGCTCCGGTGACGGTGACGACCACGGTGACTAGCTACACCAAACCGGACATATTTCGCATCTGACTCAACCCCATGCAACAAACTTGATACTATGTGTTCATTATGGTCCATTCTTCCTCGACGAACAAGTACATAAGTGGCAATTTAGTCAAAAACGAGAAAACAGCACAAGAAATTTGCCTTATTTACACGTATCGGCAATGCAAGCTGCCCAGCGACTTCCCCTTCTGACATCACAAGGGGAATTTCTGTATGCAAATGAGAAGCTAATGAGGAGCCTCGTTTTAAAATACACAAAAATAAAGTTTCCGTAGACTGAGTTTAAAACACATTTTTTCACTTAAAAAAAATTATTTATGCTTAGAAACATAAAAATTAATAATATTTATGTATCAATGGATAATTTTAGGAGTGAAAATAGCAGCCATTTCACAGGCACTTTAAGCTGACAGTATGTTAGACAGCAAACTCTAATGGTTTAGTTTTGAAATTAATAGAGTTGTTTTTACAGGAAATTTAACTACCAGTATTTAATGAATCCAGCTTCGTGGCATACCCAATCAAATCATTCATACAGCTCTTCCTAACATGATCACGCACAGGTTCGGGGCCATAGATGTTAGGCTATAGTGAAACCTTGCGAATCGGACAATGCCAGTGAAAAATAAATGCATATATTGTGCTTTTGAACATATCCATATATTCCTCCTCTCTCTCCCTAGAGTATGAGGGAGTGGGGTATACTGACCAATTGTTTTATTATTAACAATGTCATAGATTTTATACAGTATGTAAACTCAAAGTTGTTATTATTACCAGGTTCCTGACTCTGATCTGAAGAATGTATATTTTTCAAAGCTTAGTGAATGGATTAATTTAATGCTGGGTGAAAACACAGATATGACAGCATCTTTAATTGGGCATAATATGCTAGTGGAACAGGTAAGTGTTGTTGTAAATCGTCTTTATGCATAGAACCTAAAATAGAGGGATATGAAACACTAACTAACATTGGTGTAACTGTTTATGTGTGTACAATGCTGCTTTGTATGCGTAACTAGCAAAGTATCTTTTATGGTCTATGCTTTATGAAAGATATTGTTCTTGTTAAAAAGTTTTTACTTGAATACATGTATATAAATTACTTTTATTAAACCTGAGTTTTCATAAGTCAATCCGCTGTTGATGATTAGGTTTGAACATTACTGTAAAATGACTAATTTTCATTGGTTTTAAATTTTGCTGTTTAACCATTTCAGGCATATTCAGTGGGTTTTAATTTTTAACAGTTTTATCCTTTAGATAATGTGTTCTATGCTCAATTTTACATATTCACTGGGTTTTAATTTAGCGCATTTTTCAGTCAGCGAAATTAGCAAAATTAAAACCCAGTGAATAATTAATCCTTTTACAGTACTCAGTAGCTTTTTAATTCATAGTAAAGTCTATCACAAAATTGTTTAATATACTTTTAATTTAATATTCAGGTAATTTGCTAGGTTTAATAATCAAACGTTTTAACTGCATTATAATTAAGAGATTTTTCATATCGTACAGCATTTGGAGATTGCAACCCACATTAATTCGTCTCAACAGCGAAAGTTTTTCATTTTTATTACCATAAATTATGAATATAAACTACGGTAGAACATAGCTTGATCTAGTGTTAGGTAATATATTCTTGAACTTGGTGCATATTTATTTATTTATTTATTTATTTATTTATTTATTTATTTGTTTGTTTGTTTGTTTGTTTGTTTGTTTGTTTGTTTGTTTGTTTGTTTGTTTGTTTGTTTGTTTGATTGTTTATTTATTTATTTATTTATTTATTAAGATATAATAAACTACTCTAAAATACAGCAATGTTAATCAACTACACAGAATGTTTAATAAAGCTAAAAAATATTACAAACACACAAAAGATCACAATAAACTTATACAGTACAATACAATACAATACACTAGCTAATATTGGTAAGAGGTAAACAAATATGAACTTTACAGTTATATACAGACTTCCTAATAGAGACATTGCCTTCTATCGTACTTCCCCGATCATAAGCCCAGGGGCCTGAACATGTAAAATCTGGGAAATTTAGGGGGTGGGCTTATACTCGAGGACCACCTAAGAAAAGATAATTGTAACCATCTTTTCTTCCACGAAAAATTATCCAAATTATATTTTTCGTTCTCAGTGAAAAAAATGCGAAACGACCAAGTGGCCATTGATTTCCATGAGACTTTTTACAATGAAGAAATAAACATATCATTGTTGAATTAATTTACCTTGTGTTGTTCTGCTCACTGTAATTACATGCTGCTCTTCTTTCATAGGTACTCAAGCTTGTCCACACGTTGGCTAAGTTTGGTTATTATGACAAAACAGAAGATATTTTAAATCTGTTGAAACCCATGATGAGTTTGATGGATGGTAGAAACGATAAGCCGTATCCCAATAGCACTTTACAAGGTGGTCCTGAAGTCAGGAGAGAAGTATTACAGCATTATAGAAGTAAACTTCGATTTGAACAAAGTCCTGAAGCAAAGGCTGTAGTAGATGCAAAATATATGTAAGTTCAGAATAATAACCCCTAAATATGGCGAAACTTTCAGGCTTGCTTAAATACTGAATTGAAAGTTTTGATACACTTACAACATTTTTTTTTGCAGGGCTATGGAAGTTGTGGATTTGTTCTTAAATTTTCGCTTCAATGAAAGACTAGATAGATTCATTGCAGACTTCAAGCATTTGTATAGTCATACACATTCCATAGAAACTAGAAAGAGCATGGTGAGTGGCTGTATAGCTGGTGTACTGCTTTATATGATGAAATTAATCATAGTTCAATACCAAACCTCAGTTCATATTGGGTTTACTTAGCTGTAGGATCTGAATATTGAAGGGCCAAGTATCTCTATCTTTTTGTATTGCCCAGTCTCATGTTTTGGGAAGTGCGGCCTCACATCAGAGCGATAATTTTCCATATCACACCCAACCCAGCGCACTCTGTTTTGATCAATCAAAACAAAACATGTCATTCTAAATTACGTCATGTGCTTGAGGTGAAATTGTAATACACCTATAAGGTATATGATAAAACTGCTTTTGTTGCCCTCAGTCATACGGCTTACGTGCCATCGCAAGCTTGGGCCTCGGCCTCGGCCGCAATATCTGTATCCAGTCTATAAAGATTAATAGTTCAGAAATTGTTGGGTTATATTTAATAATTATAATGAACTATGAATACTGCTGGTGTAAAACAATGGTTGTGTTTCCTTTTTCTTCAACTGACCATGTAAAACTACTGTAGAATGGCTAATTTTCACTGGGTTTAAATTTCACTGATTTACCATTTCAGGCATATTCAGTGGGTTTTAAATTCACGGTTTCGTCATTTAGATAATGTGTTCTATGCTAAATTTTACATATTCACTGGGTTTTAATTTAGCGCATTTTCCAGTCAGCGAAATAAGCTAAATTAAAACCCAGTGAAT